GGCAGAGTGGGAGACACAGAATCTGAAGCAGGCTCCAGGCTCTGAGCTGTCAGCACAGAGCCTGATGCGGGGCTTAAACTCATGAGCTGTGAGATCATGACCTGAACCGAAGTCTGACACTCAACCGACTGAGCCACCCAGGCGCCCCTAAAATATACATATTTTAAGAAATATACATTTTAGTCTTTGTACTTAGCTCCTGACTATAGTTTCTAAAGCCTTTGTTTTTTCCTAAGTGAAAAATGTGCTAGAGGCATCTTTTGTTCTAATATTTGGTCTTTAGCTCTGGTTCCAGATGCAGAGCTCCTAAAACCCTTGTAATTTCTTGAGTGATGTGGTTGATAGGAGCATCTGACGTAGAGCACCTAAATCTTGGAATTTCCTGGGTGTCTTTTGTTCTACTGAAGCAACAGGGCTCCTGGATGGGGGCTGGTTGCCAGAAAGATCAAGCATGATTAGAAGCCCCTCTACTCCTGAATTAACTGAGTTAATAATTGGTTATTCCTAAGTGATAAAGCCTCTATAAAAATCTTTAAGAAATATCTAAAGTATGGGGTTCAGAGAACTTCCAGGTTGCTGAATACATCAAAGTGCTGGGAGGGTGGTGCACCCAGGGAGGGAATGAAAGTGCTATGCTCTTTCCTCTATACCTTGCCACATACATCTCTTCCATCTGGTTGTTCCCAAGTCACATCCCTTGGTAATAAACTCATAATCTAGTTTGTAAACTGTTTTCCTGAGTTCTGTGAGCTGTTCTAGCAAATTATCGAATCTGAGGAGGTGGTCATGAGAACCTCTAATTTACAGCTAGTTTGTTAGAAGCACAGGTAACAACCTGGACTGCCACTAGTATCTGAAGTGGTGGCATTCCTGTGGTACTGAGCCCTTAACTTGTGAGATCTGATGCTAACTCCAAGTAGACAGTGTCAGAATTGAACTGAACTGTAGAACACCCAGTCACTGTCTGCTGGAAAACTGCACTGTTGTGGGTAAAAGCTGTACACATCTGGGGTCAGAAATGAATAATTGAGACTAGTGATAGAGTGTTGAGAGAACAGAGTTCTTTTCCTTTCATTCCCCCAAGTAGGTTTTTAACGCAAACCGTCTTTTAACTCCAGTACTTGAAATGACTTCTGTCCTAGTACTCAATAATTGTTTGGGGAATAAACACATTTCATAAGATACACGATAATTAATTAATCGGTAGCCAGGTTCCACAAACACTTATCTAACAGCTAATATGGCTAAAACAAGAAGCATTTCAGCAGCGAGAAGGTAAAGGAGTGGTGCTTACTTGCATATCTCATGTTGACTTATATTTACCTAGTTAATTGAACAAGAGAGATTTTTTACTACATTTAAATAACTTTTCTAACTTAGTTTCAAAATCCAAGAAACATAAATGTGTTTGTGTGCAAAAAATGTGTTCTTGGCTATTTAAATTCTAATCTGGAGGTCAAAACAAACATTGTTACCACAGTTAAATTACTTGACTTCAAACACAATTATCAAGATACCTACATTCACAGGAAAGAAAAAAGTCAAATTCTTAATCCTGGCATTTAGGACCTCCACAATTAAACCCCAAATTACCTTACATGCCACTCCTCTTCTTCATGCATGCTATACTCCAGCCAAAGTGGAACTCTTCCCCTTGCCTCAAGGATCTATACTTGCCTCCCTTTGTGTGTTGGCTTTTATTGTCTACTTTATTAGAAAGTCCCTCCATGCAGTTGCACAAACTCAAATCTAACAGATCCTTTATACATCATTCAAATGCCACCTCTTAATCCTTTCCCACTTCTAGAGGTAATCTTTCCATCTTCTCAACTCCTACAGCACTTTATCTTTGACACCATTTACAACTTTGTTTCAAGTGTACATAGTTATGCATCTATATTCTCTCCTCATATTTAATAATAAGGGCAAGTTCTATATGTAATTAAACATTTCCCAAAGTATGCTCCATGGAATTCACAAAATTAACAAGCAGTAGAAAATATAACAATCTTTAATATATGGAGGTATGTTGTAAACCTGTAATGAAACAAAGTATGCCCATTTCCAAAACTTATTTGGCCTCTAAACCATTTGGGTTATTTTGCAGCACATCTCATAGGATTAATATTTCTATGGCATTCCTTTTGAGACATGCAGTCTCATTAATCTTGGCATCTTCTCTTGAACTTAATAGGAACTCAACAAACATTTGTTGAATGAATGGGTAATGGACCCTGGTTAACAAAGAACTCCTCCATAAAGGTAGCCTGCCCAAAAAGAAGACTCCAAGAATGACAGCAGAGAAAAACAGTAAGAGTACAATGTCCTTGGTAATGCAGTAAGAGAAGAGAGGAATATCTGTGACAACAGAAGAATTTACTACCTCAGCCACTTTTTATATGCAGAGGACATAATTAATCCAAACCACACAGGAATTCCTATTTACAATGCCCATCCTGAGGTAAACATGGAGATAGAACTTTTCAGCAAATCTGTCAAAAAGGGTTGAAACTATGAAGATATTCTGGTCAATTTCCAGGACACATGTTATTAAAATAACTGAAACATCTATTACTAAATCATATCCTGGAGTTTTATTTTGTTGTATGAGGGTGTTTACACGATAAGAGGAAGTCTCATAGGATCAACAATGCGACTTTAAAAGAAGGAGAGTTAACACTTTATGAAATTTCATGGATTGAAAGCATAATTTTGTATTGATTTAACCTCATCTCCAATGTGTAAAAATGAAAGCAGAAACCAGGATGCATAAAAACAAAATATCCTGACTACATCCTGACCTGTTTCCTACAGTTCTCTAGCTAGGTCTAAAAAAACGGGAAGAGAAAAAGACCCTCCCTAACATGTCCTACAATCTAGATCCTATGGCAGTAGCAACAGGAAGCGGCAGCGATGACTGGGGTTTGTTTTTTGTCTTCCTCCTCACTCAAAAGCAGAGAGACCAACTTTTCACTTAGGGGTGAAAGCTTACTCAAGAGTGGAGTCCACTGCAGGGCCGAAAAGATAAATACATTTCTTAATCATAACTATTAACATTTAATTGTAACTTTTAACACAATATGCTTTTAATTTTGATGAAGCAAGAAGAGAAAGTCACATGAATTAAGATCTATGCATGTGTAAGGCTGTCCTATGAACCCTGTGGCCACAGGACTAGTCTGCCATCACTGATCAGTTAAGTGAATGTTACCAGCTATACATAAGGAGTCACTCAGCTAAGTTAAATCCTAATTTGGTTTAACTACTTTACTAAATGGCATGACCCTAGAAAGCAAATATAAATATTTACTATCCCCCCCCCCCAAATATATATATGTATTTCTCTACCTCCTCCCCTCTACCCCAGGAGGGGAAGGAGGGCAGAAATCAAATATATTTTAAAGTTAGGGGACTCATGTGGTCAAACATTTAAAGAAAAATAGATATAAGATGGTCCAAAACACAACTGGAAACGTCAAGCAGGATTAAGTCACAGGTTAATGCCTTATGAATCATGTAACAGAATAACAGTTTTCTGTTAACAGTATTTCATGAAGTATATTAAAGATCTCAACTTCATGAACAGTTTTCTACCTTTAAGAGACGTGAAAAATAAAACAAGAAGCTACAGAACTATTTAGTATCTTGCCCAGGAACATACAATAAAAGCTTTTAGCAAAGGAGTGTCTTCCTGCTCCTGAATCAATCAATAAACAGATGGCACAATTATGAAATTTGAGAAGTTAATATAATCTACCTCCCAACACTTATATCTGAGAACATACAATTAATATTTCCAAATTCTCTCTTGTAATTCTCTCTCTTCACTCACAAATTACTATTTATTAGCTATTATAACAATAATATATGTTATTCCTCTCAACAAAACCATGATCTATCCAGGAGCTGAAAGAAATCCAAAACATAGTAACAGTAACATATGAAAAGTTCCCAATTGTTGCAAAAACTGTGGCCAAATTTCAAGCCCAAACTGCTGACTCTGAAGCAGAAAATCCAATCTTCACTTGCGGAGAAATTCTCTATTGTCAACTACAGTCGTCTCAATTATTATACTTTTGCTGTGAAAGACGAGCACACACAAAAAGGGCCTTTCCTTCCTTTTTCGTTACATCTGTTTTCACTTCTTTCACAAAAGGAGAGCCTTTATAACGTTTCATTGTTTGGCGATCCAGTTAGAATTTCCTATTCTGTTCGTCTCAAACACCACAGCTTCTTACATTGGATTTCACTAAATTAAATTTTAAGTTTTAGAGAGTGAAAACGCTCAAGGAAAGAAACACAATAGAATGCTCATTGTCTCAGGCACTAAGGATTCTCTAGCTAGCAGTTAGGTGGTTTTATAACACATTTAAATTCCTTGAGACCCGAACATTGATGTTTAGTTTCGCTCCCCCCGCCCCCCTTCAGTCTGAAGGGCTAAGTGGGCCTTTATTGTCCTAAAAAGCATTTCAGCCTCTTCGAACGTAAGGTAAGGGGAAACTGGCAGGCACCTGAGTGCCACTCGTAACGTTCACTAATGGAATAATTTTAATGACTCAACAGCGAGAAGCCCCCAGTCGGCCCAGTCTCAGGTGGCCCCCTTAGAATATTATCTGAGGATCCAAGCGACAAGACGGGAGACTCGCCCAACCCGGGGCTCCCGGCTGCTCTCTCCGCGCCCTGAGCCAGCCTTTCCCACTTCTCATCCCCAGTACATCTTCCAACGCCCAAACCTCCGACGCTCCCCTCCAGCCCCGCGGACAAAACCAACCCTCCTCCTTTCCGATTCCGGGCTCCCTTCCCTGCCCACCTCCCCACCCAGGTCCCCAAGCCACCCCTCCCCCATTGCACGCTCCGCCCGCGCGGCCCCCAGAGCCGCCACCCCACCCCTCGCCTTTCCCACCTTTCCTCCCAGGGCCGCGCCCGCGCCTCCGCCCGCCCGCCCACCTCGCGGCCCGCACTCCGGGCCTGCCACTCCCCGGGGAGCCGCCGGGACTCACCTCGAAGAGCTCGGCCGTCGTAGCCATCCCGGCCGGCTGAGAGGCTCGCCTCGCACTGGAAGCCGTCTCCTCTTCACATGCTGCGCCTCAGCGGCGCCGCGCACAGCCCCCTGCTCGGCTCGCCAGCTCTGGCTCCCGGCCGCCGCGGGCTCCCCCACTCCCCACAGAACCCAGGCGGGGCGGGAGGGCGGCCATGAAGCGGAGGCGCAGACGCCTGTCAGCTGCCTCCCGGCGCCGCCCGCGCCGCTCCCATTGTCACCGCCTCATACGCCGGAAGTGGAGCTGCGCGCGCCCGGTTGGCTGTCGGGAGGGGCTGGCGAGGGAAGCCGGCAGCCGGCGAACCGCAGAGAGGCTCGTCGCCTGGGCGAGTGAGGAACTGTGATCCTTGCGGGCCACCGTCCCGGAAGTGGACGGTAGAGGAAGAAAGCAGTGGGTTGGTGGGGAGGAATATTTCTCGAGATTCTAGGTGAGGAGTCACAGAACTTTCGTGGCGTGTGTTGACAGGACGGACTCAGAGGTTTTAGTCACTTCACCAGAAGGAGCCAGCGTCTCTGCAGAGCCCGACCTGTTTGTGGTGAGGCAGAAGGTGGCTCAGGTTGAGTGAGCCCCGGGTCTTCTGGTAGAAGTCCATCTGAGAAAGCCAGTCCTTTTTCCGTAGAGACCTTAGGGATCAGCTGATGCTTTAGTGGCTTAATGGCCCAGCGGGCAGTGTGGCTCATAAGCCGCGAGCCGGGAACTCCATTTTGTGGCACCGTCAGATTCTCCAGGTAAATGCAGGTCTGAATTCTCAGAGGTGTTGGATCGGAGGAATGGATGATGTATTGTAGTTTGGGGATGTGTCTTTGGTCCGCCACCTTGGGCAATTTACTTAACTTCCGTTTCATCTGTTAAATGAAGATCTTAATACTACTACTTAATAGTGTTGTGAGAATTAAATGAGTTGATGCTTGGCACACATTAAGCATTATGTGTTCTACAATATTGTTATTACTTTCTCTTAAAATAATTCCACCTGCTTAGGATTGAGATGGAGATGACCAAAGGAAAGAAAGGAAACTTACTGAGCACTAAACAGGTTTCACATTTTTCTTTGGTTGATAAAGATCATTCAAGGACATTTTAACTCATTCTTCCGGAAAATCTTTGCTGATCATTAAAAGACTGTTATTTTAGAAATTTTTAGAAATTTTCAGATGGATTGTTGATGAAAATTGAGAAAGTACAAAAAATTGAACCGTATTCACTTTTTCTTAGATGGTGTGAGCTGATCTGGCCCCACTTTTAGCATTTGCCACATTTTATCAAAAGAGCTCTGTGATGAGAATTATACAATAACTCATTGTAAGATATAGGTGGCAATTCTGTGACCTATGACCTTTTATTCTCAGTGGCTATGGACGTTTCTTTCTTGCCAACATTGTTACTCTTCCCTGGGGAAAGCTCTGTAGGGAGGTAGCATAGCCCTGAATTGCAGATAAAGATGCGTGTGATTTTAAATGAAAGTGGTTGGCAACGTGGATATGAAAAATTCCCTCCTGGCAACCTAAACATTTGTTTTGTTCCTGAGGGCATCAGAGTTATAGTTCACCATTTCCCCCTAATATACCTGGCTTACTTTGTTGTTGCTGTACCTCAAGCAAGGAGTTTAATAGTATTCATTGGTACGGTTAATCAGCCTCACTGGTTTATCCAAGAACTTACATATTACCTTGAGTATCCTTATTTCTGCCACTCTCCTCCTCCTCACAGGTAACTCTCATATGTTTGTTGCTACCCTTTTATTTCTGTGTTTGTCTATGCATTTTTCAAATTACACAATTAAGTGTGCTATAGACTTCATTTCCTTTCTCTACATTTGCCAGACTTCTCAGCACTATTTTAAAGAAACGTCCATGTTACTTTATGTTCATGCAGAGCAGCTCTGCCCAATAGAATTTTCTGCAGTAATGGACATGGGAAGTGTTCTAAATCTGTGCTGTTTAATATTGTAGCCACTAGCCACATGTAGCTATTGTGCTTTTGAAATGTGGCTATTGTAACTGAGGAACTCAATCTCGTTTAATTTTAATTTAAGTTTAAATAGTCACACGTGGCTAGTGGCTCCTGTTTTGGACAGTGCAGATTTAGCCCATTGCTCTGTTGTACCCTGTGGTCTACATCCTCCATATTTTACCTGTATCCTTCCCTTAATGATGATACCCTGGGTTGCTTCCAACTCAGCCATCCAGAATAGTGATGCAGTAGATAGCCTCAAAAGGTCCATAGGACATATCTTTGCTGATTTTGACTAAAGATTGCCAAATAATTAGCTCCTCGGAATACTTTAACAGTCAACACTCTTCTCATCAGCAGTGAGCAAAGGTTCCTATATCTCCATTCCATCCCAACATTTATTCCAGTTTTTGCCAATATTGGTGTAAAGGATATCTTATTTTCATTTGCATTTCACTGTGTAGCAATGATTGTTAGCCCTTTGGATTTCCTCTTCTGTGGATTGCTTGTACATATCCTTTGTCCGTTTTACCTTTGAGAGTTGCTGTTTGTTTTCCTGTTAATTTGCACGAGTTCATTGTGTATTCTTGACATTAGGCCTATGTCATTTCTAGCTACGATAGATATTTTCTCTCATTTTGTCGTTTTCAACTTTATCCCTTGGTTAAATAGAAACCACTAATTTTATTACTATCACAGTAGTACTTTGGGGATTTTGTAGAAGTTTTTCTCTACCCTTATTCACAAGCTATATTCTTAAATTATCTTCTCTTTATCATTTTGCTTGTCATGTTTAGATCTTTAATCCATCTTCAGGTGTGGTGTTAATAGAGGAATCCCCTTATATTTTTCTCTATTGTGTGGGCCAGTTTTCCTGCATATGTTTAGTATATTTTTTCAATATATATATTTTTCATTGATTTCTGGGATTATTGATAGTTGATATGTCTCCCATATAAATACTGGTTTGTTTCAGTTCTATTACTTTATTTGCCTATTCTTGCACCAGTACCATACTGTATTTATATCTGTGGCTTTGTAGCTTATCTTAATATCTCACAGAGATGAGATTTTTTTTTTAATGCTTATAAAAATAAATTCCTTAAAGAAGTCATGGTTGTTTTCAGAAGATTTTTCTCATTGTACTTAGGAATTTCAGAAGAAAAATTCAGATATGTTTGGGTGGGCTTTTCAACATCTCTGTGGAGGCAGTAAGTTTTATTATTTTCAGTTTTCTGATTCCTTGGAACTGATGTAAACATAAATGCTCCGGCATATTACCCATATGTATGCCAAAGGATAATGGCTATCATTTAAGATTTTTAAAAGCAGATGACCTTTCCTGTATGTGGTTACTTTTTCCCAAAACAAAACTTGGTCTAAATTCTGATTTAGAAGTTTACTGTCCAGATACACAGTAATGGCATCAGCTTAAGTATGGCTTAGGTTGTTATTGTACTCTATGATTATAGGGCCAAGGTCTGAGTCCTATTTTAGAAAAGGTATAGAATAAATCTGAAATGATAGGTTGAGTTATCCAACAAAAATATTTATTGAGCACATATCAAGGCATTATATACACTCCCAGATTAACTTCTTATCTGTACATTCAATATTGAGATTCTTACACTTAAGAAGGACTTTAATTATCCTCTAGATAACCAGAGGATAAGACACTGGGCTAGAGTTTAGTTCAAAATTCTCAACCTTTCTCATCCAGAGACTCAGAGAAAGAAAGGGCATTCTTTCTAAGCCATTACTGGAGAGCTAATTCTTTTCCTTTCTCAATCAAAAAAGTGCATCAGAATATAAGTGAGTGAGGTTCATTAATATATAAATAAGTTTGAATACATTCTTATTTTTCTTCTTAAAAATTATTAGTAAACATCAATAACTTATTAGTGGTATTCGTGCAAAAAAATATTTTGGCTAAGTTTGTTCTTGATCTTGGTGAGAATTGCTTATATATTCTTTAGCTGCCCCTTTATTTTACAAATAAGAAAATAGATTTAGGAAAGTGGGTGATTTACACAGAAGTTAATAGCCAATAAATGACTTTATTCTGGACATTAGAGTGGAGGGAAAAAGAGTAGGAAAAGTACATTTTCTTTTAAACTGTAACATATCATTCTGCAAATGAACAAAAGCATCTTCTAGTCTTTTTCCTGCCAAAAGGATAAATTAGTAACTTACTATTAAGTCTAGGACATGCAAACCATAAAAGATTATTCAGTTTTTATTATTTTTATTATCTCATAATATCTTTCAGGGCCATAGAGATAAGCAGTTTTATTACTAAAATGTTCTTATGTTTTAAGGAGTTGGCAAGAAGACTCAGGGTATTTTGCTATTCACTATTAGTTGAGTAGAATAGAACATTCCTTTTACATTTGTATCATCTCAACTAGTGAATCCAAAGTTGTGGAGGGTTAAATTGAACCTGCTAAGATGGAATCAGAAAAAAAGTCCTTATAGATGCCTAAAATGCATCCAAGTATGTGTACCTGGCTGACCAAGTAGGAATCTGAGTGGCCAAGAGACTAGAATTTGGAATTAGAACTGTGTGCTATGCCTATTTAAAAAATTAAATTGAACTATGTTCAGTAATAAATGACTTTATAATTTGAGATAATATGTGAACAGTTACATAACTGTTACACAAAAGTTGTTACAGTCGAAATTTAACATGGAATATATTTTTTTGGTTATGGTTTTTGTGGATATGTGTATGTATTTGTTATCGTGTGTTTTGTTATTACGGTTAGCCTTGTGTTTTAGGGTTTTTTTTCTATTTTTATTTTCCTTGGAAGAACCATTCATAATATTTTTGTTTCCACAATAAAGACGGTATCCAACTGTTGAAAAACGAGCCAAAGTCTTCAATGGAGCAAGTTATGTGCCTATTCCTGAAGATGGTCCCTTTCTTAAAGCACTACTCTTTGAACTTAGATTATTGGATGATGATGAGGACTTCATAGAGAGTCGTGATAGCTGTTCACACATCAATAAAACATCCGTCTATGGGCTCCTCATAGGAGGTGGAGAACTCTGGCCAGTTGTTGCTTTTCTGAAGAATAACATGATATATGCTTGTGTTCCACTAGTTGAACAAACTTTATCCCCTCATCCACCGTTAATTAGCATTAGTGGAATTTCACAAGGCTTTGAACTTCTTTTTGGAGTACAGGATTTTCTTTCCTTGAGTCAAAAAAATGACACTGAGCTAAATACAAAATTGAACCAATTACCTGATTTGCTTCTACAAGCTTGTCCATTTGGAACTTTGTTGGATGCCAATTTACAGAATTCATTGGATAGTATTAATTTTGCTTCTGTGACTCATTCACAAAAACAGCCAGCCTGGAAAGTTGGAACATACAAAGGAAAACCACAAGTTTCTATTTCTATCACCGAAAAGGTAAAATCCATGCAATACGATAAACAGGATATAGCAGATACATGGCAGGTCGTTGGAACTGTCACTTGCAAGGTAAGATTTCCTCTCATACTTGTTTTATCTTACCATTTAACACGTACGGAGAAAAGTAAAATTTTCTGACTTTATTTTACATTGTTATATGACATTCTTGATTTTTCTCATAAACAGCAGTCATTAAATGTTAGATTTGTGTGAAATTTTGTAACATTACCTTTTTGCATTCCTTATGAATTGTATTAGTTATATATTACTGCATATTGATTTGCCTCATTATCCCCCAAATAAACATTTATTATCCTCATAGTGTTCTATGGGTTAAGACTTCAGGAACAGCTTAGATGGGAACTTCTAGCATGAAGTCCATCATGAGATCACAGTCAAGATTGCAGCTAGAGCTATAGTCACCTGAAGGTTTGATTGGGGCTGGAAAATCTACTTGCAAGGTGGCTAACTCACATGGCTAGCAAATTGTTGGTGGGAGGGTTCTGTTCCTTTCCATGTGGACTTCTCAGTAGGCTATTTAAAAATCTCCTCACAGCTTGGTAACTAGCTTCCTATAGATCAAATGAGAGATCAGATGAGGGAGACAGAGAAACAGAAAGAAGGTGCAGGTAGAAGCTATCCTTTTTATTACCTAAGCTGAGGTCAGATGACATTACTTCCACCACTTTGTTCATTAGGAAAAGGTCACTAAGTCCAGTCCACATTCAAGGCAACTAGAATTAAGCTCCATCTTTTGAAGAGCAATGTCAAAGAATTTGTGAAAATATTTTAAAACCATCATACCTATTTTCCATTTTCTCTAAAAAGGATGAAATTGACAAATCTCTGACTTAATATCTAAAACCATTTTGAAGGGCTCTTGTATTATTTAAACAAGTTGGTAGGTTAATGTAGGGTTCTCTGGTTTAAGGTTAGAAAATAGGAAATGACAATAGAAATAATACTATTATCACTTTGGGATCCCTGGGTGGCTCAGTCCAGTTAAGTGTCTCAACTGTTGATTCTGGCTCAGGTCATGATCTCACAGTTATGATATCAAGCCCCATATTGGGTACCACTGGGCGTGGAGTCTGGTTAAGGTTCTCTCTCTCCCTCTCCCTCTGCCCCTCCGCTGCTTGTGCTTGCTTGTGCGCTGTCTCAAAAAAAAAAAAAAAAAAAAAAAAAAAAAAAAAAAAAAAAAAAAAAATCAGGTAAGTTCGAGGTCCCTTCTGTGTTTTATAATTCCTGGTTAAAAGTTCAAATTTATGTATGCCAGGTTTGTTTAAAAGATAGTATTCAGGTTTCATCTAGAATTTCCTCATTTAATAGTAAAAGACTGATGATCTGATATTTTAAATGACTAGGTGGCAGATAATCCATTGGTGGTTTTCGTAGTGGTTGCAATTTTCCGATCCCTTTAAGAATATTAGACTGTTAGGGGGTGCCTGGGTGGCTCAGTCAGTTAAGCATCAGACTTCAACTCAGGTCATGATCTCACTACCTGTGAGTTCAAGCCCTGCAACAGACTCTGTGCTGACAGCTCAGAGCCTGGAGTCTGCTTCAGATTCTGTCTCCATCTCTCTCTGCCACTCCCCTGCTTGTGCTCTGTCTCTCTCTCTCAAAAATAAACATTTAAAAAAATTTAAAAAAAAAGAATATTAGATTGTTAGGATATTAGACTAATTTAATAAGCACAAACTGAATATTTAAACATTGTAATAGTATTTGCTATTAATATTTGCTCATTTTATTATCTCCATAAATATCAAAAAAACCTTTTTTTTTTTTTTTTTTTTTTTTTTTTTGGTTCCTGCTAGTTCACATATAGAGAGTGAAGTAGCAGATGGTTTAAAAGTCAAAACACTAAAATATTTAAGTTTTGTGGTAAGATTATTAGGCATTTTTTTTTCCAAATGTGATAGACATTATTGTAACTGTTACCAAAAGACCTTTATGAGGTACTAATTATATGTGGTACTGTTCATAATGCCTGCCTGCTCTCTAAGTGCTTACATTGTATAGCAGATGTATTCTTGAATTAACACATATGTCAAGCAGTAGATAAAAGCATAAAAAAGTGAAGCATGTCATATTAGAATGGAAAACAAAGGTGGGGTCCACAACTAGAAAAAGATACCTAATCAGTAAGCATTTTTTGAGTGTCTCTTATACATAGCAATGTGCTAGGCACTAGAAATACAAAGAAAGATATAACAATTTTTGCTTTCAAAGAACTTAAAGCTTCAAGAGGGAAACAAACAGGACACAAATACCTATGGGGGTGGGCAGTTATTGCATGATGCAGACTATGTATATGATAGTAGAACTAGCTGCTTGCATTTGAAGCTGAGCATTATACCTGCTGGGTTCTACTGAATCTTAAAATACTTGTTCATATCCAGCCAAACAAAACATATCAATAAGCCTTTATGGCCCAATTGGCTAGTTTTAATTGGGGGCTTTAGTAGAGGGAAATGTCAAGTTAGAGTTGAGATAGAAAGGAAGAACCTGATTACCATGAACATATAGGTAAGGTGTATCATTCTGGTTGGGTCAGAAAAAGAGCCATTAGGGGTACCTAGGTGGCTCATTCAATTAAGCGTCCAACTCTTGATTTCAGCGTAGGTCGTGATCTCACAGTCCTGAGATCAAGCCCTACATCATGCTGCACGTTGAGTGTGGAGCTTGCTTAAGATTCTCTCCCTCTCCTTCTGTACCTCCCCTGCTTGCACTCCCTCACATGTACTCACACGCTCTCTCTCTCTAAAAAAAAAAAAAAAAAATTACAAGTTTTAGGGGAGTAAAGGTATTTAATATAGGATTTAGGGCTTACTGAAAATAATAGTTAATTTAAAACATCATGAAAGTGTGAAAAATGATTTTGAATTCTGTGAAGCTCATACCAGATGGAAGAGGAGTTGAGAGAATAAAAGTTTCTGATCTTCTGGCTGCAGCCTTCCAGAAATAGTCACTGATGACTGTGGTCTGGAGAAGTTAAAATTTGCAGGAGATGCCACCATGTTAACGGCCTTGAAGAAATTCATGGAAAGGACTGCAAAGTGCTACATCTGGCCAGCACAGCCGTAAAGCAGGAGCTGAGGGAGAGGTCTGTGAAGCTGTCATATCTGGCTTCCATAACCTTCCCAAAACACTGGCTTCCCAGCTTCAGGGTAGAAAATGATTAAAGAGGTAGATTGGGAGCCAAACAACGAAAGACTTAAAAGTAATGCAAAACTGAGGGGGAACTATTGAAACACCTTGAGCATGGATACAATATATTTAAAGTTCTGTTTTGTTAAGATAGCTCTGGAGGGTGGATTGATTAGAGGAAAGCAAATCTAGGGACTTAAAATAGCTTTTTAAGGGTTTACAGGCCTTTAGGAAGTCTCTCCTAGTCTCTGGCTTGGAATCTGAGTATGATAGAACGACTAACCAGAACACAGAAAGCAAGAGCAATACCTTGAAAAGTGAGTTAAGCTGTGAGAAATGACTTAGATAAACTCAGAAAAGCCTCACCCAGAAGACGTATGCTTCTAAGATCTTGGTAATATCTGTTTCTGTTTTCATTGCAGTGTGACTTAGAAGGAATCATGCCAAATGTTACCATCAGCTTGAGTCTCCCCACCAATGGGTCTCCACTTCAGGATATTCTAGTTCATCCTTGTGTGACTTCTCTTGACTCTGCCATTCTGACTTCTAGTAGCATTGATGCAATGGATGATTCTGCATTTAGCGGACCTTACAAATTTCCACTCACACCTCCCTTAGAGTCATTTAACTTATGCTACTATACTTCCCAGGTAAGCAATCTTGGCAAAGTTGAGACTTTGCCACTCTTCATGTTTATGAATCATTGTAAACAAATCATTCATACTTTTGGCCCACGTGAGAACTTTTGATTATTTATTTACCAGATAATAATTGATGAATGAAGATGATTCAGTTCTTTGAATAGGATGCCTCTTTTCTCTGGTGTCTGTTACAGCACTGAATTGTTTTCAAAGTCATGGGAGTTATTTTTTTTTAATGCTTCCTAATAAGGATTCCATGAACATAAGATAGATCCTACTATGATGTAGTCATGATTTGAATCATGAACATAAAATACCTGTAATCTCAGGCAACTGTCGTTACAAATACATAATACTATTTTTAAAGGTTGCTTATTGAATAACTGCTGTGCCAGACACTGTCCTAGGCATGTTACATGTGTTTTCTCCAGTACTTTTAAAACCTTTAACGTAGGTATTACTAGCCCCATTTTACAGATGAAGAGAGTCTCAGAGAAGTTAAATGACATGCCCAGGGTCATATAACTGGTAAATAACAGAGCTTAGATTTGAACCCACACTTTCCACACTCTAAAACCTAACCTTCTTTTTACTATACCATTTGTCTCTTGTCCTAATTGTGAATCAGTAGATTAAAAAAACCTACTCTGGGAATGCAAGCTGGTGCAGCCACTCTGGAAAACAGTATGGAGGTTCCTCAAAAAACTAAAAATAGAACTACCCTACAACTACCCTACCTACAACAAGCAATTGCACTACTAGGCATTTATCCACAGGAAACAGGTGTGCTGTTTCGAAGGGACACATGCACCCCAATGTTTATAGCAGCACTATCAATAATAGCCAAAGTATGGAAAGAGCTCAAATGTCCATCTATAGATGAATGGATAAAGAAGATATGGTATATATATAGACAATGGATATTACCTCAGCAATCAGAAAAGAATGAGATCTCATTTGCAAACTACATGGATGGAACTTGCAGGGTATTACACTAAGTGAAATTAGTCAAAAGACAAAATCATATGACTCTCACCTATAAGGAGGACTTTGAATAAAACGATGAACATAAGGGAAGGGAAAACAATATAAAAAACAGGAGGGGGACAAAACAGAAGAGACTTATAAATATGGGGAACAAACTGAGGGCTACTGGAGGGAGGTGTAGGAGGGGGGATGGGCTAAACGTAGGTGCAAGGGCACTAAGGAATCTACTCCTGAAATCATTGTTGCACTATATGCTAACTAATTTGGATATAAATTTAAAAAAATAAAAAATAAAATAAAATAAATTTAAAAAAAGAAAGTAGAGGCAACCAAAAAAAAAAAAAACCCTACTCAAGCTAGCTTACATAAAAGGAATTTATTTATTTTTTTTTCTCAACTTTTTTTTTTTTATTTTTTTGGGACACGAGAGAAGATGTTACATGAACGGGCAGGCAGAGAGGGAGCACAGAATCGGATATCAGTTGCCCAGCCTTCGGCGTGTTCATCAGCCTCCATGCAGTCTTCGACAGGCTCAACTCAGATGACGATGAGATCGACCGGCTGAAGTCGGATCGCTAATCGACTGGCGCTTCACCCAGGCGCCCCAAAAGGAATTTATTTTGATAATGCAAGAAGCAATCTTGTCATTCAAGGATAAAAAGCATACCTAGCCTGTACTAGGAATAGAACCAGAAAATGAAAATTAAAGTCACTCTGTACCGAGGTCTACACTATCTGTCTCATCTCTGCTTCTCAGTTTCCTCTTCCAACTTGATTTCTCTGCTTCCACATGACCTATAGCTCTAAGTTATACTACATAAATAGAGTCTACTTATTACTTTAAATATACTAGAAGAATGATTGGCTCATCCAACCTACAGATAGTTTCTCCTCCAATTGGTTATTGGTAATCAACTGAGTAAGCTACTGCTGAGCCAAAGGGTGGGTAAGTCCTGCTGTCATAGGACAGCAGGAGCTGTGAGGAGGCATCAGTGAGCAATATGTCTAGTGCATGTCTTATGTTGCAGGTCATAGAGAACCTGGAGGAGGAGAAAGCTGGATGAGTAAGAGGAAAAACGATGTATTGCATACCTTGTAAGGCACCTTTCTCATCACTGGAAATAGGAAAAATTCCTACCTTTAGAACAAATATAGCTCCATCATCTATTATCAAAACAGTTTGGAGTAATCTGTATATAATAACTACTGCAAGGCCTTTTTCTCAATCGTTGGTATTTTAGATCCATTAACCTAGGAATTATACAAAAATTTGTTTATGTTTGTTTCCAGGTCCCTGTTCCACCGATTTTGGGTTTTTATCAAATGAAAGAGGAAGAAATACAAGTAAAAATAACAGTTAATTTAAAACTTCATGAAAGTGTGAAAAATAATTTTGAGTTCTGTGAAGCTCATATACCTTTTTATAATAGGTAGGAATAAAACGTGATGCCATGATTTCTGCCTTTCTTAGTACATTCCCACTGCCCTACAATAAATTATTTGTCTTTGTTTTTTACCTTGTTTTTAAGATCTAAAAATTTTATTTTATTCAAATGAATCCTGATTCTGAATAGAAACTTAGTCATATAAATAATCTCTTTAAGAGACTTGTTTAAGACATTGTTTAAGAGATTAACCTAGTTTAATCTCTAAACTTGCTAGTAAATATAAATTTAAAAGCAGTGTAGCTTCTTTAGGGATTATTTCACTCCTGGCTTTATTTCTAGCAATTTCTCTGTGCTGTACGTACAAGTCAACCCAACTATCAGCTACCTGGTGAATTAAGCCAATCATATCATAAGATTACATTGTCATCAGTTCTGTTTTTATTTGTTCTACAGTATAGTTCTTTTCACAGGATGCCAAAATCATAGTTTTAATGCTATGTCAATCTATATAACTGTATTAATACATGCTATATGATTTTATAGTTGTTTTTAGAATTAATAATGAAATGCATATCATCACCAAAAATGTTTATTGTGTTTCTGGTGTTTTTTGAGGTATAATATTCGTTATTTGTTCTACTTTATTCTGCAAACTTGAATACAGATCTGCTTTGTATGTTATACTTATAATAAATAACACTAGCAAGATTTGACTTAGATCTCTTAAAACTTTTCTATTTACTATCACTTGTTCTTTCAGTTATGTCCTTTTCTTTTTTTAAAGGGGTCCAATCACACATGTGGAATACAAAGTGAGTTTTGGCCAGCTTGAAGTATTTCGAGAGAAAAGCTCATTGGTCTGGATTATTGGTAAGCTTCTATTTATTAACTTTTTTTCATTCATTTGTTGTAGAATAAAATAGTTAAAATTGTTAAATAGTTAAAATAGTTGATTGGTAGGGGCACCTGGGTGGCTCAGTGATTAGTTAAGTATCTGACTTCAGCCCAGGTCATGATCTCACAGTTTGTGAGTTCGAGCCCCACATCGAGCTTTGTGCTGACAGTTGAGAGCCTGGATGGAGCCTGCTTCAAATTCTGTGTCTCCCTCGCTCTTAGCCCCTCCCCTGCTCACACTCTGTCTCTCTCTCCTTCAAAAATAAATAAACATTAAACCAATTTTCTAAATAAAAATAAATAAATAATAAAATAAAATAGTCAGTTGGTGCATTTGTGTTCTTAGGACAGAAGTTCCCCAAATCAATGGAAATTAATCTTTCTGGAACTGTAACTTTTGGAGCCAAGAGTCATGAGAAGCAGTCATTTGATGAGATTTGCATTGGAGGTACAGCATATTTAAAGGTAAATACATTTATATGGCTCACCACATTAGAAAACTTTCATTTCTTTTTAAAGTTTAAATACATCTAATTGATTTTTAACGTTTTCTAGCCATTTTTTGTTGGAGAAACTTCTTGTCTGCGCTAAGTCCTTTTTAAGATTTTTTTGTGCAATTTCTATTTAGTATTAGTCACTTTCTGTTTCACTTCATATGTAACAAATTTTAAGGTGAAACACTTAACTATAACTTTAACACATCAAATAAACCAAGTTCTATCTACCCAGCTCTTAATTATCACATTCAACATTTGTATACAAAAAATATAAGATGTAGCCCTTGACCTCTGGGATTTTCCACCAATACATGTCAATAATTGATCAATGCTAACTGCTTTTGGTATTTGAAGGAAACAGTGAGCACTTCTGACCAAAGTGGTCAAGGAAAGTTTTGCAGTAGAGATGGAGTTTAAGCAAAACTCTGAGGCCCAGATAAACATGAAAATGAAGCTTTGAAGATTGATGCATATTTATATAGGTAAATAAATGACTTAATCAAAGGAATGAATGGTAACAAAGCATGCTTAGGGGCCGTGCTAGAAACAGTAGTAACACATAAGGTTGGATAAGTGATTTAGGTCTAGATTATAGCTTTGGAGGGTTTGCATTCTAACTTTTATTCTTTTGTTAGAAAATGTTATACTTTTTTTGAATATGGGAGTGGTTGGTCTTTCAGAAAACAATACTTTAAGAAGATCAATCTGGAATGGATGTGAAAGGGAGGTAGAAAAAAAATAATGAAACTTGAGAGAGAGGAACTATTTTTTAGCTATATTAGTATTCCTGATGAAAGGTAGTAAGTTAATGATGCTGAAGGTCACAGAAAGAGAGACTGCTGGACAAGCTGTGATAAAGGTAAAGTATTCGTCACTAATTAAATATAGAAACAAGAAATGGTTTTAAGCCCAAGATTAAAAAAAGAAAAATGTGGCTTAAATCACACTTGAAACTCCAAGAGGGCAGAGATCATGTGAGTGTCATACATTCATTGTTTTATCACCAACATCTAGTTCATTCTCTACCACATAAATATTTGATGAAGGATGAATATATTTAGAAGAAAGTACTAATATGGAGAAAGTTGGGAGAGAGTGGGTTTCATATCATGTATGTTGCTGGTAATAGCAACATATCTCAGTATAAGTGTCCAGTAGGCAGCTAAAAACCTGAAGCTTGAGTCTTAAGAGAGAGCTCAACAGTTTATAATGGCTTAGGTGTTATCTGTGCGGAAAAAATAGTTGAGGCAGTGGAAATGAATAAGATCAGAAAAAGAGAAAATAAGAGAATGATTTAGAAGAACCATTGAGAAGAATTGAAGGGGTGATCAGAAAAGTAAGGAAAATCTAAATAGAATGGTAAAGAAATCAAAGAATAGAGATTGAAATCTATATATAAAGATAATTAGAGGAAATGGTAATGAAGTCTGAAGTACACTAGTGATATTTGTTTCTTCCATCTTGACTTCAGCTATGCCCACAAGCTTTATTTCAGAGATTATTATAAAAATTCCTATTTCCAGATAGTTTTCAGAAAAAAATGTGGGATGTCACTACATTGTAGGTCTTGCAAACGTAGGGATTCTGACTTTTGTAATTTATTTTCATCCCCTACTTAGTTACAGTCTTTCATCCCCTACTCAGTTATATGTATAAACATAATACATATTTGTGTTTACTGAACAGATTTATTTTTATAATATCTAGTTATGTGGAAATCAATCTTCGCATAACTTCCAGCATCCAGAATTATACCAAACAAGTAAAAGCCCTTTACTGTTAGAGTTTGAGATGCAATAGGAAAAAAATTGCTTCGAAGACTTGAAAATTTACATTCTATGTATGTGGATCAGTTAGTTTGGCAATCAAAAGGAGAAACTTAGGAAGTGGGAGAAAATTGCAGGGATGGGAGCTAGAAGGAAAAAAAAAAACATAGAAAAGATATCAGGATATTACAAAATTGGGAGCTTTGAGCAGCAAATATGAGAACCACAGCAAAAGGAGACTGGTGCTCCCTCCATAAGACATAGATACCTTTCATAGTTCATCTGAATATCATTGTGACTCAGGCACCCCACCACTATGCCTTCAGAGAAGGTGCTAACAGCCCTTTGTACAACATAATAATGGGCATTTATACCGATGATGCCACATTATCAATTAACTCCAGAAATATGGATTACATTCTAGAAAGGTTTTATAGGTGACAGATAGGATGATTTCTAAGCTTAATTCTATAAAAATTAAATTTCAGTTTTCTGGAAAATTAAGCAGAACATCTCATTCCCTCCAAACACCAGATAAACTGTTTCAGTTTTAGTAATTGCATTGTTGGGTTTTGCTAGAAAAGTGTATACATACATTTCTGCCTGTAAAAGGATTATGATCTGAAATATATCACAGCAAGATAGCCTTAGAGCTAGAGAGGACATACAGGGCACCAGACACCCTAGGGGAAGAAGCACCAGCTTTTGTTGTCATTTGGGTCTGAGTTCAAATGCCAGCTCTGCTCCTTACATTCTGGGATGCTAATCTTTCTCATCTCTGAACCTCATTGCCTCATTTATAAAATAAGGATGCTTTGCAGTATAGATTAGTGTCCCTATTAGTGAAGCATCTGGTGTGTATTAAGCACTTCCTAATGACAACTTCACAAAGAAATGGTCTTAATGCAAAGGGGGAAAAAGTGTATATGTTTATGCATGCATGTGTGTACACACATGTTTATTTTGAGAACTGTGTGAAGTAAATTCCTAAAATTGTGTCAAGGGAAAAAATGTAGCCATCACTTTTACCAAATAATCATCTCAATTTGGTATATTTCTCTTCTTTTTCTAGCTTCATTTTAGGATCTTAGATTATACACTCACTGGTTGTTATGCGGATCAGCATTCAGTTCAAGTTTTTGCATCAGGAAAACCAAAAATAAGTACACGTAAGTTGTAGAGATTCAGATTAACTTGAGGGAATAAAATGGTGCTATGCAATTACTACCTAAGATAAAATCTAACAGAAATAGATTAGAGAATAATGCCAATTTGTAAAAATTTTGACCTGATCCTATCCTGTGTAATAGTGTGTGTACTTTTTTGTTTTGCTTTTTTAATTTTTTTTAATGTTTATTTATTTTTGAGAGAGAGAGAGAGAGACAGAACATGAACAGGGGAGGGGCAGATAGAGAGGGAGACACAGAGTCCAAAGCAGGCTCCAGGCTCTGAGCTGTCAGCACAGAGCCCGATGCGGGGCTGGAACTCACAAACCAGGAGATCAGGACCTGAGCCGAAGGCGGACATTTAACTGACTGAGCCACCCAGGCGCCCCAGCAGTGTGTGTACTTTACATTGCACTCTGCCTTCTCTTGTTTATACAGTGGTCGGATGAGCAAGGACTGGCATAGAGGCAAGCTTTAGTATAAAGTTGGATTTGTTTTGCTATCATTATTCTCTTTGATTCAGAAGTTGTTCCCAGGGGCTTTGGTGTTGGACAGACAAAGGTTTGAGTCTGGTTCAGACAATTTATTACCAGTGTAACTTTGGGCAAGTTAGTAAACTTCTCAAAGCTTTAGTTTCCTCATCCATAAAATGGAAATAATAGTATTGTTTACCTCAGGATTGTTATGAGATTTTGTTAAAATTATATTGACCGAGTACTTAGCATGATGCTTATAGCCTGTAGGATGGATTCAATAAGTGTTAGATATGATTATTACTTAAATTTTTAAATATTTTTAGCAAATGCTGTAGTCAATGAGCAGTATTTAGCATCCTCTGCATTTTACAAATGGGAGTGCAATAGAAAGTTTCCAGCCTTCAGTGAGTTTGTTGGTTGTAAATAAATATATATACTGTATTTGAAAATACAGGGAGACAAAAAGATGATTCATTTATAAATGAATCAGAATTATTTGATTCATATCAAATATTTATAATAGCATAGAACAGAAAATTAGCTAGAATGAGGTTAAGTTAGTTAAATGTAAGCAGACCTCTTTACCTCATGTATTAAGAAGAATAAAGGTATTAAAATGAGATATATAGTTCTTAAACTAAGGATTATAGTCCCCAAAATAGGTAGGATAAGACAGGACTTTGTACTTGAAAGTTTCAAAAGAATTACAGAACTTAGAACTATAGAAGTCTAAGCAATTGTGAATGGCAATAATAAATTCTATGTAATGTAACCAGAATAAGTCATATTCTTTATCTCCCTAGGATTTCTCTGTTCTCATTCATCATTCTTTTGGTTGTATTTTAAAGAAATGCATAAACCTGAAAGAGTCTTCATAATGCATTTTTTTAATGAGGGCAAAATATGAGATATATCAGGTTAGACAAACCAGTGGTTTTGTCTAAATACAAATATTTTGGATTCTATCTATGGGATACTGAATGCAAACATAAAATTTTAGACTGTCTGTGGGACAATATTTTAGGTTGTCTATGTTGTCTCTTTAGTAATGTCTAAAATACTTTAAGTATCTTATTAATGTTAACATTATTGTAGTAATTCTCAGGGAACATAATATAGGATGGGACATTTCAGTAATATACCTGCTTCTTAATGTAATTAATTTATATTTTAATATAAATTAATGTTACTATGTTGAATAAAAGATCATTTTAAATGCATAATTATGACCAGTCTTTTATTTCCTTCCTCTGTTAGTTTCAGAACATGTCTACCACTTTGTGCATCTTCACAGTAAAATCTATTTTTGTAATATATAACTTAGTTCTGAAACTATTAACGACGATAATAATGTTTATTTAAATAATAATAGCTAACAGTTATTGCTCACCTTGTGCCAGGCACAGTTCTAAGTATTCTATGTGTGTTAACTCATTAATCCTCACGGCATCCTATGTAAGAATTATCTCCATTTTACAGATGAGGATGCTAATGGAACGTGGGGGTTAGGGTCACATAGGTAGTAGATGGCAGGACTGGGACTCAAACCAAGCAGGCTGGCTTTGGAGCCGGCCCGCTTAACCAATATGCTGTGTTGCCTTTCGATGTTACTAGGTTCTCAGACTGAAAAAGATAAATCAATAACAAGGTAATACATCCTACCTTTATCTTCTTCATTATGAAGAAGGAAGGTAGAAAAGGCAGAATTAGATATTTAGTGATATGTGTCATAACTAGAATTTACATGGATCTAGCTCCAAGTGAGCATTACTATCTCAAACTTACATATCAGAAAACTTGAGTTCAGAGAGGTTGTCATTTGTTCAAAGCTATAAAGGTATTAAAACAAAAAGCTTAAATTTGATCAGAACTTTAAGAAACCATCGAAGCAACTTTTTAAGACTATTACTAGAAAGTTGGATATTTATTTCTATCTCTGAAACTTTGAATGGGAAAAGAATAGTAAGATCAGAGTTAGGACCATGGTAAAGAGGTTACTGAAGGGAAACCAATAAAAATTTTTTAGTTTTTTTGTAGTTGACATAATGGTCCATAAGAAACAATTTAGGGAAACCATGAGAAAATTGATAGAAGTAATATGAGTAAGGGATATTGGCATAAATTTGGCATAAGCTCAAAGATGGATTTATATATTTAATAGTCCATATTTTTAAAGTTATAAAAATTATAATGCCTTGATAAAGTGAAATTAAAATGAATATTTCAGAGTGTTGCCTTTCTTGAAATAATTGTGTCCCACAATTCTAAAATATCATGACTTTGCTGTCTCATTGAATTTTTGTTAAGATAATACAGTCTTACCATTTATTTCCTTTTTCTATAGACCGGAAACTAATTTCTTCTGACTATTACATCTGGAATTCTAAGGCTCCTGCTCCAGTATCATATGGATCATTATTACTGTAATTATCTCATATTTAAATAGGATTTATATAATGGTAACATAGTTCAAATCATTTGTCTTTTATTTTTAATGTGTATGCATATAAACTATGAATGAAAAAAATCATTGAGTGATTTAATTATAAAAATGTTATTGTTTAATGTTTTTAGATTGACAGTGTTTGAAAGAACATTTTAAAGGCTAATGTCTCCTATTTTGTTACCCTTTGATTTTATTCAAATAAGATTCAGAGCATAAAACAGTCATGATTCACTTTAGGCTTATTTTAGACTAGTCCTGGTCACTCTACCATACATGCTGTTTCCTGTCCCTGTGGCAGACATGGCCAATCAGTCACAGGCTTCTTTCTCCACTGAGCCTTCCTGGATACGGGCTCAGTCTCCTCATTGCAAAGGTGCAGGCAGCCATTCCCAATGGATTATAGATGATGTGCAAGATAAAAAACTCTTTAACCTTTCAAACCTGAGTAGTAAGCTCCTAGTACAATGTGTTGTTACAGAATACCAGATACCACATCAGAAACCACTGTCAGTCTCTTGGAAAAAAAACAAAAACAAAAAACAAAAAAACAGTCAATGAAAACAAAGTAACCTGTTCTTAATCAGAACTATCTTATTGACTAATAAAGAATCTGCATAATTCTATATAAGGTGTTTGTTTATCTGTTCTAGAGTTACTTTACTTTTCAGGTGAACTTATTAATCTGCCACAACAACATTTTGCTCAGGATGTCAGTAAGCATACTAAGAGGAGTGGGATACCTTCAGAAAATGAGCATAGTGTTTTGTGATCACTTAATGCATGCAAATTTTTAACAATAAGTTTAGGAATAATACTGTTTTTCATGTTTATTATATGAAAGTTCTTAATGAATTCAGGTAAAAATTCAAAAGCTGTTCTGTGAGTAGAGAGTATTAATCTTATTTCAATCTCATGTGGCATATTTTGTCACTCCTGCTTTCTTATTAGCATTCTCTTGATTTCTTTAGGAACCACCTGTATTCTTTATTCTCTACCTGTCTTTACAATTATATGTCTCATTCTATTTTCAAAGCAGTTCATTGTCAAGTTGGACTTTAAGTGACCATTCAAGAAAACATGAAATCTCAAGATCCTTAAAACTTAATCCATGTCAAGTTTCTTTTTACAGAATAGCATTAGAAGCATTATAAAAAATATGCATTACAGATTAATATTCAATTAAATTATCTCTTGGTTTCTATTTCTTAATGAGTCTCCTAAGGAAGAGCTTAAAGAAAGCTTCTAACTCCTTGAAAGAGAGCTATGATAGTTTGAAGGGATATTGCAAATAAATTTAGGATTTAAAGTATGATTTTTTAATTAGGGTCAATCTCACTCATTATAAATTCTCATTTTCTCAAGGCATTATCATGGCAGAATGTTCCATGTTCAAAATTATCCCAAGTAACAAAGAAAATAGAATAACTGCCTGACCAGGACTTTAACTTATTATTCTAGCTTAATCATAGGTAATCAGTAGTAAAAACTTTTCTTTTGAAAGAAGGAAAAAGCCATTTCCCTTAAGTTATTTGATCTCTCTTAAACTCAAGGGAAGCTTAACATTTAACTTATGTTAATATTAATGGAGCCATTTGGACATCTTGATTATTGTATAAATGTTGGGTAGAGTACACTAAGATAGGCAAGAGGCATTTATCTAGTAAGTACACAGATATTCAGTATAATAATCCCCTAGGGAAAACTTTCCTTACAAGCTATGAGAAAAACCAGTGAATCTTTGGTTTGACATTTCTAGAAGCCTGAGGAAAATGTAGGGAGTCCTGGAAAAGTATAGGGCGAAGGGGAACCTGATGCCATCTGTTGCCATTCCATTCTAACATAATGCTACAGAACTAAAACCAACTCATGTTTTCATCCTGTTGAGATCAGCTGGGCACACTGTGATGCTTTTGATTTTGTCTAGAAACCTGTCACTTCAGGATAATTTCTGAAGACAAAGTCTGTTTCCCGTTTGGTAGGTGACCTGTTTAATGTTTTCCCTGTGTCTGGGAACTCCTTAGTGTAATTAGCGACCTTTGAACTCCACAACTAATCCTGAGCTATTTTGTATTCCTTACTCATCTTTAAGGCTGGACCTTTCTTTTCTTCAGAGTCCGCTGCCACAATTAAAGAAGAAACAGCTGCATTTCAAAGGGATTCCGATTCCAGAAGCTTAATCGTGATTGACATGTTCTTATTCTAAGCTATAAGACACTCTAAGAGTCCTTTCTTGGGTTAAAACTTCAATCATTTTCTAAAAAATTATCTCACTATGGATTTTATTCATTTTCTTTGATAACTATTCTTTGCATTTTTTAACTTGAAAGATGCTTTGCGTTTGTGGTGAATATGAGCATCTACTTCCAGTTAAAGATTTGGATGGTGTCAGACATACTCTAGACGCAAAATTGCTAAATTCCCTTTTAGTGCCAAAATATGATTATGAAATCTGATGTCTGTCGTAAGGGTAATTATTCTTCAGTAGACCCCAAAGGTACAAAAAGTGTTAAATTTCTGAAAACGGACTCAAAAAAATAGTTCATGATTTTCATAAAACCCTTCTTCATTTTTTACTAAACAATATTTTTAAAACTTTGTAAAGCCAGTAGTACTCTTAGAGTATAAGTTAATACCTTTACACTGGTGGGCACTTTTTACTTTTCTTTTTTAGATAATCAGTGTGAACGTCAGGTTTGAAGTAAATGGCCTTCTCAGGAATTCTTAAGAGAATTATTTATATAAAAAGGCTTTTTTGATTAAAGAATAGTCTGTCTCATAAACTAATTTTTTCACACCAACTCAGTGTTTTTCAGTTAAAATTATTGTCGTTTTTATACATTGTGTGATTTAAGATCTTTCAAAGCACAATTTTATATACAGTAACAACTAATATTTTCTTTCATGTTGTATTATAGTATTGCAGGCTGCTTTATAGATATTCATATACCCCTGTACCACCCCTGAGAGGTAGGTAGGTCGAGTTATCATCCAGAGCCTCTGTGGGGACTGCTGCCATAGCAGAACGGTCGTTTCTAAGACAAAGGTCAGAAAAGGGATGTTAATAAACAGTCCTCAGGTTTAAGGGACTTTTTTAGGATTACATCTTAAATTCCAACAAATCAGATTTAGGAGTTACTGAAAGTGAAATTGATCCATCCCTCATCCAAACTTTGCAATACTTTCCTGTTCTGACATCATTTAGATAGTTAGCTGTATTATCAGATTAGAAACCATTGTACCCAGCTGCTGAAAGGAAAAGGAGGCAAAAAGCTAAACATGGGATGAATTCTGAACCTTTTAACCTGGCTGAAGTACGTTGGTCCCTGTTATGCAAATACCTTCAATCCTCTGCTAAGTTCAGTGGAAATAATTTTCTTGAATGACAGGTTTATTCAGCAAGGATTCAGTTGGTGATTAATCCCCCTTTGATCTAGGGTATTTCACTTAACTACCAGTTACCTCGTTCTGACAAAGTGCAACTGAGATTAGGGAGATCACTAGAACACTACCAGGGTGTGCGTTTATTCTCTCTAACCTTTTAAAGCAAGGGCCAAGAATGCAATTTATTTTCAGTATTTGAAGATGTAAAGTCCTGTCTGCTAAGTTAGAAAGTCAATTGAATACCAAATGAAGTTTATTTCTTACGTAATAGAACAAACATTTCTTTTTGCTTTGACTAACAATGATTTTAGGCAACATAGGCTTTGAAGAAAGAAGAAACAAAGACTATATTCTAAGTATATCTTCTAGTTTTATTTCATGTACTAGAGTGTATACTTATTGGCCCTGCGATAAACCCAAAATCAAAGCAATGGCTACAACTTAGGCTGAGAAAATGCTTCTATTTTTATTAAACTGCATGGTTTCTCCTTGCCCTCTCCCCCATTAAAAAAAATGTCATGCTATGTGGTAAAGAAATCCAATGGGGGAAACATGTAATACACAATTATTCATCTTAAGACTTAGGGTTTCAAAGCTTTATTTGTTAACTTTGTTCTTTCTTGAGGAAAAAAGGCTTGTTACATTGCCATCATAAGATAATCATGTTCTTTTTCAGAATGATGTTTTTTTCTATGAAGAAAGGTAAATGATGCCATTATAAAAACAATTCAGATTATTTTAAATTATTAAAATAACTGCCTTCCACTGTATTGCTCACTATTTTTTCTGCCTTTTTCTCATTTAATTGAGTACCTCTTCTTCCATAACTTTAAGCTTTAAAATATTTTATGTAATTTTGCACAATATTTTAAGAATAAAATATTAAGATGTGTTTTATGCTAGGTTTCTCAAGAGGTTCACTTAAAACTATTATCAACCTCAATGTCAGTATTTATCATCCGAGATACCAAATTTGGAGATTTATTTTCAAGTATATTTCAAGTAGGTTTCAAGACTGACTCTTAAAAAAAGAAACAATGGTGTGTAACAAAATTGTTTTTTAGTATTAAATTATTATTAATTTTATTATTACTGACAAAGCATTTTTTTAAATGCTTAATAATTGTTCATTATTCTAGTAGCAGTTTGCAATGTAAGTTGCATATATACATAACTTTCTTACACATTTTTTGGCTCAAACATTTTGTGATCCAGTTTCTAAATTGAAACAATGTCTTATGCATATCTAATTCATGTTGGTGCCGAATCAGTCTCTCTAGTTTCAATTTAGTAACCAATCTGTTTTGAAATATCTTTTGATACCAAGTTACTTAACCAGAGGAAAATTGAAAAGCAGAAAAAGACTTAAGATGGAAGGGCAGGATCCCCTGGCTATGTTGCTAAGAAACTAGTATTTTTAATAATTACTACTCTATGCAGTCAATATTTAGTTAATAAAATGTAATGTATTTTGAAATATGCTGTCAGAGAAAGACTATATCAAACATGTGTATACATATGTATGTGTGTATTTGTATAATGTATATGTTAGTATGTGTGACTTGGTGGCTTTCCCTCTGAAATATTTGTGTATCATGTC